TGCATGATGAATAGATCATATATTTTATACAAAGGGATGTACTTGTGGCAGATGTATCCTGGAATGTAGTCTAGATCCTTATAAGAGCAGAAACCATTGAGATTGACATCACCTGCTGAGCTGAGTGGAACTTCTCCATGGTCGGAGGCAATGACAGTGAGATTGATCATAGTGTTCTCAGTCACACTGGACAGGTCAGAGGCCAGTGAGATTACCCCAGTATCACCATCCAGGTTTAAGTGAGGTGAGACATTGGAGAACCTGCAATATAGTATAAACAACCAGAACACATTTGTCCGAAGACTAAATGAGCCTTGCAGAGCCTGACTCTGCAGGAGAATACAGATTGAGTTTACTCATAAAAAAACATGAAAAAAGAAACTTCAAGCAAACAAGATCTGTTGCTCCAGTGCTCTGTGCACATTATCTCTGCATTTAAAAGTTGAGGCTGGGATATGGCAAAGGCTTAAATTGCCACTTGGGAAGTCTGTACAGTCTGGATACTCTAGAAGCTTTTACTGTAAGAGCTCTGTTTTGTAAAATAATTAAATCAGTGGTTCTAGCGTAACAAAAATACTAAATACACAGTACAGAGGCATCAAAATGACATCCAAAGTGCAGAGTAAAACATACAGTACCTATAAATAATTTTGGAGTTGTTTCCAATGTCTGGGTCCTGAGCAGACACTGTTAAGACTTTGTCTCCCTCTTTTGCATTGGCCACAAGCACACTCCCAGTGTAGGATGATTTTGTGAATTTAGGAGCGTTGTCATTGATGTCTGTGACCTTGATTTTGATATCAGTGACATTCTGTTGGGGTGAGAAGAAAGTTTTATTAGTAAATAGTAGAGACATGCCATTGGTAAGAAAATACAGTATGTGATTTTCACCCTTCTATCTACATTCTGCACTTCAGTGGTCTCACCTCTTAATATCTTTGCACACACCTTCTTAGTATCAGTGTAGACCTGTTAAACTAGCACTTGTTATCTTTTCTTTGCATTTTTCCACTAAGTGATGTTTCTTGCTGTAACTTTAACATGAAACTCTTTACCTTTCTTTGTGGTATTCCATTATCAGAAGCCACAATTACCATCTCATACAAATCTTTAATCTCTCGATCTAGGGGTGCCACAGCAACTAAAGTCCCATCCTTTAACAATAACAAAAAAAAT